CATATCTCGCTTTCGTATTGTAGGCAACAACCTAGGCAGCGGAATACAACCACTTGGTCATACAAAAAGACAAGACGTGGTTGCAGAGAAGAAAAGATTTCCTTTCTAATAAAGTCATTTACTGAGCTGTACATTCGTGAACATATGTTACAGTGGGCAAAAAGTTCCGGAATTATCTCCGGTAAGGGGGCAAAATATGTTGAATAACTAAGGGAAGTTAATTAATACACATTCGAGTATAGAGTGGGAAAATAGACAATGGATTGTGAAATTAAATGTAATTTTATAAATACCAGATAAACCTATACCAGAGTAGAAAAATAAACAGGGGGTTATGAAAAAATAATTGCGATTGCATAATCCAGGTTAAACCCATGACAGAGTGGGAAAATGAACAAGGGGTGGAGGATATACATGTGTAGTTATCTAATACAAAATGAATTGATGACAGTCAAGGCTTTATGATGGCCATGGCCAAGATAAAGATTGAACGTACCCTCTCCGGACGTATAACTCTGGTTTGAACTTCTGGATCGCTGGCGCTCCATCTATAGATGCATATCTTGATGTCACTCTCTTCGGATGGTTCGGTCGAACGTTGTAGAGAATTTTCAATGGGATCTCAAAAGGAGTTAAGTGACCTGAGTTCACGAGGTGTTCTGTTATTGAAGTGAAGATACATTTCAGTTCACCCTTGCCAGTTAGGCTAGGTAATGTGTGCAGACACATTTTTCAAGTGGACACATGGTACGACCGATGCACTCAGCTCCACAAGAGCAAGTAAACTGGTATACACACATTGATGTGGTCCAATGCGTTGGCTCGTCTTCCAGACACTGACCAAAATGTTGCTTGCAGGAGGAAATCGTCCGAAGGTCTGTGGCGAAGTATGTTCTGTTTAATGATTTTGACAGTCGTTTCCTGATGATCTCAGCAGCAGTATCATCACTGAATTCGAGATTCAACCGAGGAATCTTTTTCTGAGCCTAATGTGTTCGTTCACTTGGGTTCTTTGGCTTTATGTTTTTGTCTATGAATCTGGGTGGGAAACCGATTTTTGCTAGAGTTCATCGAAGTGTTTTCAGTTCTGCATCAGTGCATACTTTCCTGAACCTCGAGGAGAGTGAATGAATAAGATTTTCTTTCCTGCATGGGGGAACTGAACCATGAAAATCAATCAATTTTCCGGTTGCCATCCAGCAATATTTCACTTACTACCAGGGGGATTTTGGCTTTTATGCGGCTTTAAGATTTGTCCAGGTTGGTTCATGTGTTTCCCGATCCCTATCATTATGCACCAGCTTCCCAAAGTTAAAATAACTGGCGAAAAGTAAGTCCTTTGTTATCACGCATTTTCGATAATTCACTGACATTTATGAAAAGTGAAAGATCTCCCTGGATATTGCACCAAGAAATACCTTTGGCAGCCGGTTGCCACCCGGCAGTGTTGCACCTACTCTGAACAGACATGATCCCAGTTGCCCTTAATGCACTCTTGCATGTTTCTGTCTGATTCATACCTAGTGCACTTATTCAGCAAGCCAGCTGAATATGCCCTGTAAAACACCTTGAAGTGAATGATTTCCTTTTGAAATGAGGCCATCTTGTGAAAGTCCTGGAGTAGTTAAACGTGAATTTTTCCATGATGCGTTGCAGGATCATGCTCTTGTCCATACCTAGCAAAATGCTAATGCGCCTAATACAGGAAAGACAGAAAGATGCAGTTGTTTCAAAACTAATACCGGAGGAAGCATTTTTGAGGGGATTCAAATCATATGCTCATGTATTTTGAAACCTACGCTTTTCATTTCCATAGAGAGGAGCACAGAATGGCAGAATGGCAACTCCCTACCTCAACTTCATTCATTTTGAAAAGGCTTTCAACAGTGTCCACCGAGAGATAATTTGCCAGCTACTTCAACAATACCGTCTTAGTGCCAAATACCTTTACTAATCTCACTCAACAGCTAGATGCTGTGATGAGGCTACATGCCAAGTCATTCACAATGGATAGAAAGCTCAGTGATACATTTGAAATGGAGGCAGGAACAAGAGAACACTGCCACCCACTGTCACTGATCCTCTTCCTGATTGTGGTCGACTGGGTCATGCAAAAACTATGAGGAGCGGGAAGATGGCCATATGCTGACTGGACCGATGAAAGACTCCACAAGAGCATCTGGATGTCACCAATGATGATGATTTATGTCCAATATCTTGTCGCACAAACTCGAAGATCTACAGGCAACAACCAACAACTTGACAGACGAGGCGAAGCAGCAAAGACAAGATTTCCTTCAGGTGGATGCAGAGAAAACATAGGTGATGAAGATACCCAACAAACAACAACAACAAGCAGCAATCACCATCAACAGGAAAAGTTAAAGGAGAAGCCTGTCTCTTTCACCTACCTAGGCAGCATCGTTTCAAATACACGAGGCACAGGCGCACAACAGGATGTCAAAGACAAGATCGGAAACACAGCAAGACTTCATCAATCTGAAATCAGTGTGCAGATCTACTACACTCCACTCCACTCCACTCAGCATAAAGTGTCAACAACATCCGGATTTTCAACACCAATCCAGTCAAATCACTGCCTCCATGTGATGGTTCAGAAACTTGGCGCGGTGCAAAAACATCTCCAACAAACTATAGTCATTCATAAACAGCTGCCACCTACGCTCACTCAATACTGACACTCAACATCAGATAACCGGAAAAATAAGAATAAGCAACAAGGAACTCTGACTGGTCCCGCAACGAACCAACCAAGAACCCATCACCCAACATATATGCAGAAGAAAGTCTAGGTGGACTGGATTGGATGTACACTGAGAAGACTATTTGGGGACATCACGAGCCAGGTCAAGTCGTCAAGTGGAACCCAAAGGGGAAACGACGAGTTGGGCGTCTGAGGTGAAGGTGACATGGAGGAGATGGTGTGAGGAAGAAATGAAAGGTTATGAGTAGTCTTGAAGCCAGATTCAAAAGTCTCTAGAGAAGAGAGTGCAGTGGAGACGTACCACCGAAGCCCCCCTATTCCGCTGGGAACACACATGACGAGTATATCGATAAAATGATAACTATTTTAGAATTAGCTCGAAAGAGCTATTTATTGGAATAGAACGAGTGTGAAAATGACGATTGGGGAAAATGCTTAAACAACTTATCCGGCTCATATAGCTTTGCTACGGCCTCTGAGAGCATACGCTTTGGCCAGGAACAATTGGGCATAAAATGACCTTGAAGCCATAGAAACAAAACTAAAACACCTTCGGCATCCGGAGGTGAGCTAGAAGCTTATTAATTTAATTCACTTTACTCTATTAACTCTGGCCCTAGTTGTATTTCGGTACCAGGAATGTGTACTACGCAACTTTTCTGTAGAAGGCAGACTGAAGGTTATGGGTACTCCGTCTACGGGACAAGGTTTGGTGCGCGGTGTTCTTCAAGGAGCAGTCCTGTGTCCCATTTTTTTCCTTCAACTCAATGACGAATTAAGACAGATGCGCAGGAGTCACATGGAGTGATACCAGTTGAATTACTCTTCAAAAGGACTTGGATGGTCTGGTAGGTTGAACGCTGACGCTTGGAAACTAACTGAAGCAAAGGTGTTATGATCTACGTGGGTTACAGCGACTGTTTCGTTTAGATCACATGACTATGTGGAAACTCACTGGTTCCCGAAATCGTCATTGTAAGTTCTATTGGTCTCTGAAGCATAGGAATTTATTACTATTTACTCGTATACTTGCAGTTCTCCCTCGTTACATTGGATCAACTTGTTCGGCCTCCGTTGACATACGAGGGCTTCTCGATATTGCCTGAATGCTAACTGCTGCAGTTCGGTTGGAAATGTGTGTCCTGGATTCTTCTGCTAGCCACGATCAACCATATTACTACAAGAATTTATGATAAGATATACTATCATCTAGCTTAACGTAGCTTTATGAGGACGAGTCAAACATATCGACTGCTTGTAATGGAAGTTTGGAATTTTTATGCTACACTGGTGTCATCTGGGCAAAGAAGTATGACTGGAAGCGAAACAAACTTTAACATCGTGTATGTGCTGAAAAGTGATATTTCCCCGTTTGTTTCGTAACTTATGGTGTTTATTGTAGAATTTAATGACCTCCCTTCTGTACTGTTCAAATCTTTCAGTATATATCAGTGTGATGACTCCTGTAAACTGACTTCTGTCTTGGTAAATTACCAATGTGAGAATAAAGTATTTATATATTTATTTAAGTGTTCCATCGGCAGCACACCACTACTCAAAGTCTTTGGACCAAAAAACCCAAATGTTGTCAAAAGCGATGACATGGAGACATCTGCAAACCGCAATACAAATGCAGCAAAGAACTCTCGTATGTTGTAGTCCAGTGGCAGAACCTTAGAAAGTTTTGATCAGAATGCGTTCAGGATACTCCACTTTACTTTCGAATGACTTCAGTTAGAATACTTCGTTCAGGCAGCCACTCCATGTTTATGAGGGTGCCGGGAAGTAATTTGGCGCTTCCGAGGAGAAGACATCAAGTTTTTGGTCAACGTTTACAACCTGCCGTATGAGAAAAGATTAGATCTATTGGGTTGACTTCTGCTACCTTACAGTAGGAAGAGAGTTAGTTGACTTCACACTGGTATTCCGGTCTCTTTTTAGTTACTTCGGTTGTAGTATGTCTTATCTGTTCTCCAGCTTCAGGAACGACTATCCTTGAATTCGTCGTAAAAAATCCCAAAAACCATCATCAAATCAACCTAGCGTGAACCTGACTTCCTCTCACTGACCGTTTGGTAACTGAAACCCTAATCTCACCAAGAGGCAAAGTACCCTTTGATGAAAGCCTTCAATTAGAAATTAAAGTTTCAAGAAGATATCTATAACAAGGGTTAACAGGGGAAAACTGGCCTATTATCCTTGTAAGTGGATATTGAGGGAACACTGAATGTTGAATATTATAGGCAGTCCGGGATTTCTGAACTCTTATCTTACGATGGTACACTTTATTGTATTTTAAGCTTCTGATTCGTTTTCTACTTTCTTAATGGGTTTTAAGTTAATCCAATAAAAAGTATGATTTATTCTTTTGAATTAAAGCTTCCATCGTGCCGTTATTCATGATTTTAGCCGCTGATCTAGGCTTTCAGCCCTTGTCGTCTGTTCCTATACGTTGTGTTATTTACCTTTACGTAGCATCATTGACTAGAAACAGCAGTTAGGTGAAGTGGAAAAGTTGCATCATTTCAAGAAAAACCCAAAGGAGATAGCAATTATAGTTTATAAGTGGATGGCATATTGTTTGTGATCATTATCCCGACTACCATTTATGTAAGTATAGAATCTGGGCACTGGTAGGATACAACCTAATATTAGGTTAGCCTATTTGCTGTCACATACAGTGATATTTTGTCACTCACTGAGTGACGTGCTGAGGTTAGTTGGTTGCCGGTACTCATATCAAAGTAGTCACAAAACTTTCTGCTCCGCTCTTTAAAGTACTTTTGCTTGCCACTCCTTGATCTAATTGCTGATAAAATTTCCCATTCACCTAGAAGTGACGTTGCGTCATTTCGATTACACGTGTTAGGCGTTGAATTGGTCGGCAGAGATTTGGTGGTCAACCTATCTCTCCATTTGACCGCATTTCAAATGGTTGTTGACGGAATAGAAGCTTTCGATCAACTAGCTTCCGCGTCTACAATGCGTAGGTCACTACTCCTTTTGGTTGTTAACCTGTTGTATAAGTAAGGAAAGGCGAAAAAGTGGCAATTAAAATGTGAAAATTCACTTAGTTTTGGGCAGATCCCAGACACACCAAGTGGGTATCCAGTCGGCGTTCAAAAGATTCAGAAGAAGTAGCCTGGATCACATCTTCAGGAAGAGCGTTCCAGGGTTTAACAATTCTTAGGGAGTAAAATTTTTGCCTGACATCCAGCCTGCTATGTTCCAGGCTTAGTTTCTGTGCATGTTCTCTAAGATTAGCGTTGCAGGTAAGATTTAATAAGTGACGGAGTGGATGGCCAGGCGTGCTCAGAATGTTGTAAGTCATTATCAAGTCACCTCTTAGCCTTCTATATTCCAGAGGATACAGATCCAGGGCAACCAGCCGTTCATCGTGTGTTTTGTCGATTTTGTCGAACGCCACTGGATGCGTTCTAAGCTTAGTTTGTCCTTTTGGAAATAAGGGGGGAAGACAATGGTCCTGAACTCCAGGTGAAGCTGTTGAAAATTTGGTGGAAGCATCTTCGATCGAATTGCCCGAAAATTCGTCTGATTTACTTACGCCATGACTGTAACTCTTCCCAACCCTGTTGCATGGCTATAGGTGAAATATTGTCCAGATTGCTCATCTTATCAGGGTATATCAAACCAGAATTAGTCAGGTTCCTATATTCTGTTAATCTGACTGACTTCGTCCAGTTTAACCTATGTACTTGACCCCAGACGTAAATTATTCTGCCTAATCGGGCTAATATAATTCCTTAGCCGATAGAGTTTGTCTCAGTGAGTGTAGATTTAAATGCCACTAATCCCAGACTTGTTGAAAACTGCGTAGAGTTTCTGATGTCCCTTCCTCATATAGCAGTAATACAGATGCCTTGGATTCCTTATTCGTTTTTCAGTCATCATCCACATTATTGTTTCTTCTTCCAAGCACTCTTATGTATTTCTGAGCAAATCTAAGAGGATAATCATTAGGAAGTAAAGCTTTTATGTATTCGATTTCATCATTCGAATTTTTTGACTTAGTGGAGAGACTCCCAGCTTGTTTACTTGTGTAGTTTGAGGTGATCTTGACTCTAGATATCTATTGAAATGCGATAGTTTTTCGTAAACCCTTGTGTCTGAACCACCAACTTTACTTCATTTTATTTTAGTCAGTTTTCCGTGTTCATTTTCTGACTGGGAAGTAAATTTAACCCATATGCCACCGAGTTTGTGTCTGTATGTGTTTGGATGCCAACACAGTAAATGTATCATTCACATATCTCCACCATACTTCCGAGCTACGAATAAATATCCTAAGAGGCTTACGTTCCTAGCTGTCCATAAAAAATATCTGCGACTGGATTGGTCACTGAATGTCTTCAGCAATTCAACGCTAACATATGTCATCGGCACGGAACAACACTGATTCTGGGTGTGTGAAAAAGCACTTCTAGTTAAATCAAGGAATAGAAAACAATAACACTATCAAGAAACCAGATTGTAGGGTTATATGATTACCTTGATATGATTATGATCATTTTCTAGTAAATAATACTTGATCATTGTGCTATGGGAAATAGACCAATCTAATATGCAACCGTATTACTGGCTATTGTCTGGCAATGGGGTGAGCGCGTGACGAATCCAGTGATAAATTTGTGTGCATGACTGACTTTGGGTCATTTTGTGAGCATAAAGTTGACGTTTGGTTGCTTGAAGTTATAAGACAGATGCTTCCTCCGACGAGCAATAAAGAGGAAGTAGAAGAGACATAAAGCATAACTACTGGGTAGAAATGTTATCTGTCATGGACAGTAACGGAAGCACTAATCAGTTGCAACTTTCGTGCAAGTGCTAATTTTCTAAAAAAAATATTAGTACTCTGATTTTACTTCACTCAGTAAACCTTTCTGCAGACGTATGTATGACCTTTCGTTATCCTAAATGAACATCTGCGGTAGATGAAATTCAATATTACAAAAGTATACTCGGGATGAATGGTTTCAAGCAAAGCGATTAACATACATTTGCCGCATCACAAACTGCGCTCATATAGCTGGCATACAAATGACACGATTAATATATACTGATTTTCGAACTTGTCTTATTTGACTGTCAGTACAATGATCCTTTCGTAACTAACATACTTGTTTTGTTGATTTTGTCTATATAGTGGTAATATCCATCCTTTGCGATTTTCTTTTGATCACCCGTGCCCTTTTTTCGTAAATGAAACACTAATCATATGTGGAACTACTCCGAAACAATTAGAAGAGTGTAAAAAACAAGTTGTTGGAACTAGTATGTTATTGAGATATGCGATTGAAAATTTCGGCATCTACCGATACACAGCTTTATGCACTTGTTAAGCAGGAGCTTATCATGAAGACATGGACCAGTGGCACCAAGCAGTTCCGATCTATTTAGATATTAGCTGTTGTTCACTTCTCCATACTACTAGTAAAGACAATCAAATGAATGACTATGGGGTGATTTGAAATAGCTAACATTAGATGGGTTGTCTTTCATTTGGCCAGTTGGTTATGGACTTGCGTTAGGTTAGATTTAGTAGGTTGACAGTGTTGTAGCTTATTGGTTTAGGGAGTTTACTTTCAACCAATGGGTCGCGTGTATGAACATCGCCCTACCTACCGAGGTTCCAGCAGCCAGGTAGTATTACTACCCCTCACACAATAGGTGTTACTCATTATTTTCTGCACGAATGTGCACTATATTGCCGAGTAGATTTCAGTTTTTCGAGTGGAGGAGGTTGACACGCTTGTTGTAACCAAGTGCGTCTGGCTAGCTATTAAGGAGCAGTGGTTATAAGATGGTTAGTAGTGACTATATCAGCACCTCCAGAAATGTACCAATCCTGTTTTCACTCGTATTCTTCCAAAGCAATCAGCAAGCTAGCTATAGGTATGTATTTCTGTTTATTGTAGTGTGAAGTTGCATAATTCTTATAATTTGAGATTGACCACTTGAAAGTAATTGTGAAAACACAGGTCAGTATAAACTTGTTGGGTCGTACCTGGGCCAGGTAAAGCGAAATTGTGCGTTAGTCTTATTCTGACTCGATGTTGTTACTTCAGGATTGACCCTGGGTTCGCTAAACTCGCCCAGGAAAGTCGTTCACTGGTTATCTGAAATTAAATGTTACAGTCCCAGGAATTGTAATCAAGTAGTGTTTTGGCATTAGATGCGCATCCTAATACTACACTTAAGCCTAGTGTAAGTGCTCCTTTCCTTATTCCGTCAACAGCAATCATATAACCACATGCTCATCATATAATTTGTAGGCTTAGGGAATGATGTAAAATGATCATATACAACTGCAGCTGTAGATCTGTAATATGGATGTTCGATTTTCAAGCAGTGGATCATGACTTCGAACTCTGCTCCACCTACTCAGGTCTAGGAAGCCAGGTAGTATCGGTACCCCGTACACAATATGTATGGCTTATCGCCGAATGTGTGAACCTAGGCATGGTTACATATACAATCTAATCTCCTGGTTTTAACACATTAGCTCTAAATAATACAACTATAATCCCCATTGACTCGAAGGTGGGTTGAAAGTCTCAAGGTTGCTCGATGGGCCTTTCAATTACTGCACGGTTTTTCAACTCTAGGGGTCTTTACTTAAATCCGTTTGTACTTAGCACTTCATGCAATTAAGCTCCAATTACTATTGTAAGTTATGCGTTAGATGCTAAGTCGGTTAGCATGGACTTCTAGTTAAAACTTCTAATTAATCATCCAATTTTCATGCACCTCAGTTGAAACGTTACCAAATCATTTTCATTCTTTTGAATTCATGTAACGCATGCCGAGCCACCATCTTTGTTTACCTGCCATGTTAGGTGAAACGGGATTGAGCCAAAGAAAGGTTCAGGGATAGCAAAACCTAGACATGGCATTAGTTCATAAGATCTTCAACTGTTGATCTGAATCGTGTAGGGAAGTGTAGACTGCATATTTGAGGTCCTCGAGGTAATCTGAATTAATGGTGAAATGTTTGACGTTTTATTAGGTTCGAATCTAACCAATCTTGAATTTTTAAAAATTCCTACTCATTTGTATGAAATGTCTGACACTCATTAATTCGCTACTGTTTTCGGTTCTTAGTTATTTTCTACCTCTGGAGGCGTATTTCGGTTCTCATACAGGAAGTTGTTAAGCAATAAAAAACATCGACCTAAAAAAATAGTCGTCCGCTCTAACACATCATGACTGAGTTGTTTATGCATCGATTAGTTAACTAGTTCTAACTTCAGGAAACTCCGTAGTTTCACAAACATCTCTGGGCCACAAAATATGATGCTTTAAATTGTCTTTTCTGCTTGAGTAGTGAGTTACATTACGCTGAAGCAAACTACTTGACCTCAATACTGTTCACGTAGATTGTTCATAGCTAAGTAGATAACTTTGTGGAAGCAATAAGTGTCAAACATGAAGTGGAAAATCATCACTGTGGACCAATTAGATCTTACAAGAGAATGAGGAATCACAGATACTGAAACCAGACAAATACAAAAGGAAGGCAATAGCTGATTTTAAATATCATCTATCTTTAACTGCACCTCTGAAAACAGACAAGGGTTCCTTGATTTTTCTTTTTGACTCAATTCCTAAAGTGATTGCCGATTGAGCGCTTTCAATATTGTATCAACAATTTGCATTAGAACAGGACAAAGTTCATACTAATCACTCAGTAGTGGAATAGGATTCGGGTAGTATAGATATCCTACAGTAACGCGATATCATTCTCACTTCCAGATCTGTTCTCTATGTGGAGATGCCAGTAAAATAGAGAGGTAGCCAAGGATTGAATTATATTCTTTTCAAGGTTGAAATAATTAACAGAATGTAGTATGATGTGGTCAAATTTTTGCAGGATCTAAGTTACTTTGAAGTATCATCATTGTAAAGTATTTTATTACCTGTCTGTTGATACCAGTCTCATGAATTGTTTGAACTTTCAGGAACAAATTAGTGAGCATTCAACTAGCATATACCATGATACTGTTTCCATTGGTGGTGGTTCATCCTTTCCAAAACTTCCGCCTCAAACCCGAGGATGGTCAGATGCAAATGATCCGGGCTCAGAGTCACTGGTTGTTGAGATTTCTGGAGCGATGAGTGATAAAGACCGTGTTCTTTTTAAAATTCACACAAAGGTTGTTACATTTAATAAAAGGACATATTTTGCTTTTTGTAATTATGTATCTGTTGCATGGTATTTTGTGTTAAAAGCATATATTTGTATGTATGTATGATAAAATTTATTTTATCAAGAGTGTAGGAAATTAAAACTTACCGTTCTGATGATACTTTTACATACTGGTGAAAAAAAAATTATACTGCATCTGATATCAAGCACATCTGCTTACGGTAGTAAATTATATCAGAATCTCCGTGCATTTTCAAGCGTTTACGCGATGCTAATCTGACTACTTTTTAATAAAATAACGGAGAATATAGGTCATTTTCTATCCACCTCTCACATTTATCGATATTGTTTAGTAATATGATTATTTAGGGTAGGTAAATGATTTAAGAAAAACTGTGACTTGCTTGTTAGTTTAGTATCGCAGTTCAAGTGACAGCTAGATCAGCAATCTGACATGTGTATTATTTGAATAACAGGCGGGTAGAATACTTATCAGTTGTAGTGGGAATAAAACTTATTTAGCAATCATTCTCGGTGCTTTATGTAAAAGAGTATCATATCGTTAATATGAGTTCAATTGCAACTCAGACTTACTTCAAATTTAAGGCATTTCATGAATAAAAGTTTGATATTTATCTAGTTACTCTCAGCGCATGTTTGCTATGATCCATTTGATGACCTCTTTTAGTTTTTGGCAATGGTATATCTTTTTTGTATTGATCAATAATATCTACTGTCTGAAGCAGAGATATACTCGTAAACAGATAAGTTATATCATCTGAAGTCGTGAATTTGTCTGATAAATTGAGATGTTTTCTTCTTTCGGTGAAATCAAAAGAGTTTTGAAGCATATATTGGTAATTGCTGGCGAAATTTTTACAGCTTCTTTGCTAAACAACTGGAAAACTTGTGATATGGAGAGTTGACCATAGATAGAATAGGTCTCTCCCCTACATGCACTTAAGATGTTCAGTTCCAATTCAATGACTTCTATTAGTGTTCGCCGTGAAGAATACTAAACATCCCTTGTACTAACTAATTCGCATATTACATGTGCGTACATATTCGACAAAGTATTGGCTTACACTTTTAGCGATACAGCGAATATACTGTGTTTGACTGAAGATAAGGTCCCCCTCACCACAACAGGTAAAAGGCTGCCGAATGGTTATACTATACATACTTTGATTATAGAAGGTAAATAATCAAACCAGCTTGACCACTGTGCTGAACATTATATATATATATATATATATATATATATATATATATATATATATATATATATATATATATATATATATATATATATATATATATATATATATATATATATATATATATATGGTGATTATCAGTTGATATATGTAGCATGCTGGTGTTATTCCTAAGATGAATTCAGCATGATAATGATAGACAATAAAGGATAATTTTTTATTGACCAGCATGGCTTTGTTTTTAAATTTCTCATTGATAGACTACATTACCTGACTTCAAACAGAACGAATGCAATGTACAGAGAATGCATGAAGAATTTGTATGGCTTCATGATCACCTGGTTGAAAATGATGCATACGCAGGCTTAATAGTAAGTTAGTTTTGATGCTAATCTTCCTTCAGACATAGTTTTGTGTGACTTTCACTTGACACAAATGCATATTTTAGTCTTGGGCATTTTCAAAAGGTTAGCAGGCGTCTGTTCACGGGGCCTGACGTCAACAGTGATCCTAAATGTTTATTTCAGTATTTATTGAAAGCAAACGTGGTACATCTTAGGCGCTAGGAGTTGTGGCATGCAAAATAATATAGGAAGACTAGAAAAATGTAAACATGATACAGAAAGAGGAAAGAACAGTGATGGAAACAAAAGTAGAAATGGGTTATCAGGTAGGGAACCTCAAGAATACATCTAGAGAAGCATTCACTAATTTCTTTTTATCCGAAGAAGGAAGGAGGCTGCAGCATGGTCACCAGTGGTCTTGATTCAGGGTCATATGCTCTATCATCTCAAGCAACTCAGTCTCATGCTCTTTTAGACCACATCCAGACAGCTATGAGGCACCTATAAATGCTAACCTAACACATCTATTCTTCATTCCACGGCGCTACATCATATACTAGTCATATCTTCGCTTCTTCCAACCACTTCCCAATCCGGCGGACAGTTAGCCGTTTGAAAACCATGGGGAAGACACATGTCCGAGTTATCGAAACCGGTGTTTCAATGTGACCACAACCAACGAGCGATGACTTCTATCATGCGCTGCCTCACTTCAGAATGACATACGTGGTGTTTCCACCGGACGTGAGCAATTCTACAGCGTCAACGTTGGTAAAACATGCAGGGTTAGCAAACATCTTGAACTCGGAGAGGCAAGGTTTCACTGGCCTAGAGTAAAAGGGATCACACTGAAGCTCTGTATACTTAATATCTTACAGCCAGGCCGTCGCGATGGTTACAAAGGTGACTCAGATTGCTGCATTTCACTCCAGCCTTCGATATTCAGTTGGAAGTTTCATCATTACTCACACTGCCACTCAAGTAAAGAAAATTCTTGAAAACTTCCAGCGATTCGCCATCTTGCGTGAGTGCTCCTCCCATTCCTGTAGAAGCACTTTGCACTTTGTTGGTACGAAGTATGTAGCATAGGTACTGATGCTGACAACTGACTGGTTTAGTGCAATATGAGTAGATGGTGTTTTGTGGCATAGTAAAACGACATCGTCTGCTTACTGAAGGTTGGAAAGTCTCTCCTGATAGGTCTGTGCCACCATGCACCTCCTACACAACTGTCTCTAGGATGCAATCGATGACAGATTTAAAGCGCAATGGCAGTCGGACAAACCTGCCTAACTCCACTATTAGTTTAGAATAACTGAGATTGCTGAATACATGCCTTCACTCCGCCTAGGCTGTTAAAGTGCAGGGCTTTCAAGATGTTAACAGACTTCTCATGGACACCACTCTTCAACACCCAGATCCAAAGTACAACCCTGTCCAAAAATCGAAGTCAACCCTGATATCGAGGAGTAAAATGAAAGTTAGCCTGTAATACCTTTGTTGGCGTTCATGCACCTGGTAGAAAGGATGTAAACACGTGGTCAATGCGTTCACAACCTGGATAAAACCAGGCCTGCTCCTCGCGGATTCATTTCTTACGCTTTTTCATAGCCTGCGAGGCACGATGCCAGACAACACTAGGACATTTGGGTTATGTGTGCCTTGGTAGTTTTAAAAGTTATAGTTGAATATGTATAGAATGAAACTCCCTTTCTATAACTAAATAAGTGAATTCATCTGAAAACACCGGCTTCGGTAGCTTGAACATGTGTTGTTACGCATACCGTCTCAACGGCTTCCATACTGTTCACCGTTTGCTACCTCTGGGACTGGATGGAAGAAGCGATGGGGTGGTCAGTGTATGACGTGTCACCGTGGGATGATGGATAGCTTTATCTGGTTAGCATCTGTTTGTGCATCACGACTCCCTGGGTGGGTGTGAGAGATCGTGCAACTCAGTGGCTGGAGACGTTATCAGATATGGCTCAGAATCGAAATCAGTTGCGGTCATGCTGCAGCTCCCTTCTCTCTTCTGCTGCTAAGAAGTAATGAATGTTCAGTTTTGAGTGTATTTTTCTGAAGTGCCTTTCTAATCATCCTATTTTTATTGTTTTTCTTTCTTACTCACACACTTCCCTTCGCTTTATGTCTTTGTAATCTTAGTACCCTTGCTGTCCCATGTTTGTGTTCAAGAAATGATAATTCAACCGGCTGCCATATCATCTTATCCATTTGATGATGTGCCAAAGATAGGAGGTTTGATTAGTCAAGTTCTATACAGTAAGAGAAGCCACTGGTTGGCAAGATTGACTTGAAGTTTTGAGAATCGTTTTCAATGAGGTATACATATTTAATCCTTGCATTAATTTGAAGCATGGGCAACGTTTATAACCTAAATAGTTTATCGGCTTTCATAACGTATAGGTAAGTTCTTGTGATATGTTCCACCTGATTGTCTCAGTATGGATTAATCTACAGTTCTACACTTCACCTGCCAGCAAATGTGTCAACGAGTTATGAGTATGACTGACTCGCTTCTCTAGGTGTTAAACGACGCTGTCTTCCTATGCTGTATTTAACTAACACATGGCATAATAACTTGAGGAGTAAATACGCATTTCAATTTATCAGTATACATTTCTGATTACAGATATTTTGCTGCCTGTAAACATTTACATTTCCGAATTCTAGTTTGATATGCAGCTTTCTTTTCTTTGTTTACTCTAGAAATTAATCTATTTATGAATCTTAATTTGTTGTGTTATTGATTTTTTATACTACCTACTCAACACTGTTTACTGATGCGAAAAAGTCATTTGTGTTTAAATGAGAAGGGTCAAACCTATTTATTTATTGAATACTAGATGAATGCTTATTTTACTAAACAATCAGCCTATATAGATACACTAGTACTGTTTGGTTCATTCCAGCAATTCATAATAAGTTGGTGAAACGTCTCTATATTCTTTTATGCATATTGGTATGACTTCCTTTGTGTTTAAAGCCTAATCGTCGATTGAGAAGTTTTCCAACTCTGAATACAGTCGGTTTTTCTTTTCATTTTGCATTAAACTAGTCTCTAAAATCAATCCTTATTTTTTAGTGGCAAGTTTGTGTATGCAAAAATCACGAGTGGTTAAAAGAACCTTAGAAAAGTGATCAGAAGGTGATACACCTTTGTAGTACATTCGATTCATGCATTATATATCTTTTGCCTGATGTTGTGTAGGGACTGCCAACTATCTCTTTTCTGATGCACCTCACTTAAGGAGTTGCATCAATCCGAACGGGAGCGGTCGCTGACGAAGTCTTGCGGCATCTATGGCCCCGGCGAGATATCCGACTATCTATCGGTTCGTTCTGTCTTGTTGTACGGCTGTGAGACATGGTTGTTAAGAGTAGTAGATATGAAGCTATCGCAGGTGTTTTCGTAGCATTACTCGCCTTTGGTGAAATCACCATGTGAGCAGTGTTGACATCAAGCGAAGGGTGCTAGTCAAGATAGGCAAGTCAACTTATAAGGTTGTGAACCTTAGTCGACTGAGGTGGCTTGGACATGTACTGCACATACCGAGCGGCAGCCTACCTCGATATATCGTGCTTGGGGAAGCTGGATTGTGTTGGAAAAGGGTTCAAGGTGGTTAGAACAAGACTTGGCACCAGTCGATGAAGTTCCTGACCATTGGTCTGAGTGGTGTGGGGAGATGTAAACAGCTTGGCTTGGGTCCACGAGACGAGAGGAATCAGTGGTTGAAGACACTTGGTGACATGACTGAAAATCGGTCACCATGACCCAAATGTATTCCCTCATTGACATCTTGTAATGCTTTAATATTTACAGTAACCTTGTTTATTCTCTGTTACAACTTTGTCGACTTTGATGCCAGTCTTTTTCCGTCCACCTGTTTTTTGCATACTTCAGTGAAGTATGGCAAATTGAGCTGATACGCTGAGCTTTTGGTATTTAGGTAGCTGCATGATTCGCTCCCATAAATAGGTATGGTTCATAGGGTAGTAAACTAAGGTGTATGTGGCTTTTGAATTACTTGTTTGACGACTTTGCACTACTGGCGTAATGATTACACTATCCACCGTGGGAGCAATATTATTATAACACATAGAGCATTAGATAAGAAAAGAAGTTGGCCAATATCGTTATGAACCCTACCCTTTTAGATATACTGCTGAATAATATGAATAGCTAGAAATCATGCTAGCCAGAACAGAATGGACTAAAAATTAAGGTTCCTAAGGTATGTGTTACATTCATCCAGCCACTCCTCTGTAAGTGGAAGTAGCGTGAGGTCAGAAGAAAGCTAAAGGTTTGGTTAGACCAAAATAAGTCACTGATCCGTAAAGTCTCTGACTATAGGTTTGAACCGTGTAGGGAGGCATAGATCGTCTAACTGGGCTTCTCGTTATATTAATATTAATAGTTGGACAGCTTAGGTGGCTTTGCCCAAAATTATTGAGTGTTGGATAGATTTTGAATTCGAAATTACATTGTCCTGTTGTCCAGGCTCAGTTAGGTTGAAAGCAATTTGAACCTGTGAACCTATTGGTCAAAACCCAAGTGCTTCAGGCATATCTATATGCATACACGCACATTCTTTATAATCAAAGTCTTAACAGCTTGCATTACTTCCTGTTTGATTATCTTTTCAAGCTGACAATTATCAGTTAGGGAAACAGTGGAAACCTGAGAGCACTGGATGCCTGCTTCATCCTGGTGTGAGACTCCTCAGCAGTGCGCACCCATGACCCCGCCATGGATCGTTCCCTGGACTTTCAGGTTTCGCAGCCAGCACGTTACCAATAAACCACTTAGTCGGAATCCAATAGTCTATATTTCCAACTTTGTCAGTTCACGACACATCGTGACCATCACCCAATGTAATCGTTGAGTATTTATCCTCATGTCCACCAAGTTTGTCTCATCGGTCCCAGGTTTCCAGTGTTTCTCCAACTTATGTCAGTCCATGATGAATACCTACTTGAAACCAATAAATCTCCATAAACCCCCAAAC